TCTTGGAGGATTTTATAGGCTTTGTTCCTGGCTCCACCCTGGAACGACAGTGTTTGGCCATTATGATTTCTTAGACATAAGTCTCTCACAGTTTTCTGAGTGGAACACAAATAAGATCAAAAAGCCTTCCACTTGCTGACATGGACCAGGTCTCAAAAGACAACTTTGGTGTATTTAATAGTCTTTGTTTCTTTACTTTGTCTTACCAAAGACTTTGTCAACCTGCACTGAAGAGCATAAGAAAGGAGAAATGAGGAAAAATAAAAGCACCATTTTGCCTCAAAGGTACTTTTCTTTTTTTTTTTTTAAAGATTTTATTTATTTATTTGAGAGAGAGGAGAGCTAGAGAGAGCGCATGAGCAGGGGGGAGGGGCTGGGGGAGAGAGAGAAGCAGACTCCCTGCTGAGCAGGGAGCCCAATGCAGGGCTCCATCCCAGGACCCCGGGATCATGACCTGAGCCGAAGGCAGCTGCTTAACCAACTGAGCCACCCGGGTGCCCTTCAAAGATACTATTCTTCAAATTAAATAGTTTATACAGGCTTTGGAGATCAGCCTAAGAAATTCACCACCATTAATTTGGTGGGGATACACCTACATTCCAAGCAATAGCTTTTGCTGGGGACTTTCTGTAGAGAGCATGATTTTAATGTGAAAAAACCAATGTATCTAAATAGACAATAAAACTAAAAAAGACCAAGTCTTCCCAAATTTTCAATTTTTTTAAGTAGAAAATTTTTATTTTTATGTAGGCAAATTTATCAATCTTTTCTTTTTTGTTTCTCCCCCTTACATCAAAAACTAAACTTTATTAGCTGGATTCATGTCAGTTTTTTGTTTGTTTGTTTGTTTGTTTTTAATCAATGAGATGGAGGTTCAGAGACTTAAATAATCTTAGCCTTTCACTTCTTGTCATCTTGAACAAGTCATTTCATCTCACCAAGAACAGTTTTCTACACCAGTAAAACAAAGATTTAGTGTTCTAGAGAGCTTCTTTGTCGTGGTTTAAAAATGTGTCCACAAATTACTTGATACTCCTCCCTTTAAGAGGTGGAACTTAATTTCTCTCTCATTGAATGTGGTCTGGACTAAATGACTTACTTGTAATGAACAAAAGATGAAGGAAGTGATGGTATGTCACTTCTAGGCCTTGGTCATAAAAGGTATTGTGGGTTTCCTCTTGTGCTTTCTCTCTGGATCCCTGCTTCCGAGGGAAGCCGTCTTCTATGTTATGAAGATACTCAAGCAGTTCTCTGTAGGGGCCCGTGTGGCAGGGAACTGAGGCCTTCTCCCAACAGATAGTAAGAAACTGAGGCTTTCTACCATCAGTCAAGTGAGTACACCATCTTGAAAATAAATCATGTGGCTCTAGTCAAGCCTTTAGATGACTGCAGCCCTGGCCGACATCTTGACCGTAATTTCATGAGAGACCCTGAGCCAGAATTACTCAGATAAATTGCTTCTAAATTCCCAACCCTTACAAACTGTGAGATGACAGATGTTTGTTTTAAGACATTAAATTTTGGAGTAATTTGTTGTGTAGCAACAGAAAACTAATATATCCTTATATATATTATAACCTTACAGATACTTCCTGTTTATGATTCTGTAATTTAAATGTGGGAGGATGTATCTCTAGTTGCCTGTTGCTTTTACTAATAGTTTACAAAGTGCTTAGCCTGTTATATTTTAAAACTCTTCCTTGAAAAGTCTGCATTCCATATGCCATTTTAGGCAGAAAACTAAATAACATATTTGAGTAGAGATATTTTCCAACTGGATATTTACTATTTTAATAGCTTATATATTTTAATGAGATGAGACCTTGAGAAAATTATCACTTTCCATAGAGTTCTAAAGCAGGAAAAAGCTCTTTGGTCTTTGGAGGGCCAACAGGAACTATGTAGACCCTTGCAGTGTGTTGTGTTAAGTAAATTTTCCTAAGAGGGGCGCCTGGGTGGCTTAGTCGGTTAAGCATCTGCCTTCAGCTCAAGTCATGATCCCAGGGTCCTGGGATCCAAAGCAGTGTCTTCAGGCTCCCTGCTCAGCGGGAGTCTGCTTCTCTCTCTGCCCCTCCCCCAACTCATTCTCTCTCTCTCTCTCTCTCTCTCTCTCATAAATAAATAAAATCTTTAAAAAAACAAAACAAAACAAAAGCATTTCCCTAAGAAAGAATATGGATACCTTTTACCAGATTTTCAGAGATTCTTCCCTGCCCCTGCCTCCCGCCCAAAAGAGTTTAGAACCACTGGCTCCCATTTCTATCTGTGAGAATTGAGGTACATAGAGGTAAGTGATTTGGGATTACCCAACAGAGAGCCTCTCACTCTTAACTCAGTTTCAGACTCCAGTCTGAGAGGTAAATTCTCCCTACACGAGGCAGCTCAGGGCAGAGCTGGTCTTTGCAGTGTTCTCAAGTGCCTAGACCCTCAGGGCCTTTACACTTACTCTTTTGCTATTGCATATCTCCTGCTCATTTAATCATCAAACTGCTTCAGGAAGTGGGTGTGGAATAGATCTTCCCAAAAGACCCCTCTTGCTGACAGATCTTTTGTCTTGGTTCCCGTCAGTTTTGCCCTTATATTGAAGCACATGGGAGCTCAACCAAAGTGCTTTTTGACCATGGTACCTGCCAGAATTCAGAACTACGCCACGGAGGAAATCCATTAGACTTATCTGACCTGATTACTACAGACATATCACTTACATGTTTCTTCAGTACTTTTTGAAATCTTCACGTCTTTGCAGTACTGTTACTCATCTCTTTCTGAACTAAGCCAGATGTGAATATTATCATCATAATAAATTAAGAGATTTGGGTTGAAGGATCAGAAATCAAAGTTAAGTTCTAATATTTATGTTAGTTCAGAATTCATTCTTGCCTATTTAGAAATTAAAAATTGCTAGGAACCATCTAGAGATGCCTGGAAAACAAGTAGAAATCCTTAATTGGAGAGCTGGAACATATCTTGCATTCCTCTTACATCTTGCACAGGACGGGTCATTCATTAGATTCTCTTTAGATACTTCATCATCAATAGTATCGAGCCTGGGCTGATTAAAGCTAAGGGAGCTCATGTTATAAATGACCAGGCCTAACAGAAAGAATGTAGGAAATCCTGGTTTTACCTCTGACTTTTATACCTTAAACTATCTGTACTTCAGCTTTCCCAAAACTTCACCCATATAGATTTGCCATCCATTCCCACCATCCCCATGTACTCCAGAACGCAATCTTTTTACTTTAGCTACAGCCAGGTCAGAGAAGCCATGACTGAAACGACAGCCTGGAGAAACTGAGGCTGAAGAATCTGTGCCAATGCCATGAACTGCCCCCAAGGCTTAAGCTGGACTCCTGGCTCTCCCTCCTCCCACCTAGCTCCAGTAGGTGTCTCCTGTGAACAGGTTCCTGGGCTTGGCCAAGTGACCTAGCATGGTCCTGGCCACCATTCAGGGGTTCTGTAAGAGCACTGCCCCTGCTCCCCGATGGTGGGAACAGAGACTCAAAGCCTTGGAAACATTCCCAGGATCTCTCAATGCAAATGTTTCCAGCAAATTCAGCATTAGATCCTACCTTGTAAAACAGTCTTGTAGCACAAAGATAAAGTGAAATGACCGAGGTGCTAATCAGGTACGTTTATTTTTCCATAAACAGAAAGATATGGGAATATTTGGCAAGAAGAGGGTCGTATTTTGCATTTAGGTGAATTTTTTTTTTTTTTTGAAAAGTAAAAACAGCTTTATATTTAAAGTACAGTAATTCTAAAATAACAGATCAGCCTTGTCTGAGGAATGGCAGGAAAATCTTTTGACAAGGAAATTAGGTTTATTTTTAAACTTCCAAGGGGTTGAATTTAATTATAGATGGCAGCAAAGAGCAAAGATCCTTGAAAGTTTTTTAAAGAAAAACTAAGGTGTAAGGTGTTTGTTCTATAAGGATAATCTATTCCACTGTGTATGTGTCTGTATATTTTAAAGGGGAGAATAAAGAATAAAGAAAAAGGGGGAAAAAACCTTTTTGTGTTGTTCTTTGAATCTATCCAGAAAGTATGGAAATTGATTAAACGGAGTAATTTAGGAAGACAAATATGGTTTTGGTGATTATATCAAAAAACATACCTACTCCAGGGGTGCCTCGATGGCTCAGTCGATTAAGCATCTGACTCTTGGTTTCAGCTCTGGTCATGATCTCAGGGTCCTGAGATTGAGCCCCACGTCGGGCTCCATGCTCAGTGTGGAGTCTGCTTGTCCCTCTCCCTCTACCCCCCACCCCATATCCCCCGCCCTCCACCCCCCCCAGAATAAATAAATAAAATCTTTAAGAAAAAAATATACCAGGCACCTGGGTGGCTCAGTTGGTTAAGCATCTGCCTTCAGCTTAGGTCGTGATCCCAGGGTTTTGGCATGGAGCCCTGCATTGGCTTCCCCGCTCACCAGTGGGTCTGCTTCTCCCTCACCCTCTGCCCCTCCTCCCTACTTGTGTTCTTTCTCTCAAATAAATAAAATCTTTTAAAAAAAAACCCATACCTACTCTGTACCTCGAGATGGACATGTAGCTCAGCAGACTGATTCAGTAGTAATTAGGCTATGATCATTTTTGCTATCTACAAATTGCTTCAGAGGGGACTTTTCAAAGCAGAGTCAAAATTTATACAGTGAGATTACAAATTATTTTATAATAATGCTAACACATAAAATGATGACTTTTACTAGAAGGGCTGTCTAAATTTCAGTTTTCTTAAAGAATTAGATACTTTGATTTTGCATGCAAAATATGCCAAATATTATAAAGCAATATTAAAAGGGAAATACACATAGCAGAAAATATAAAAGTAAGAGCCAAGTTAATAAATTGTATACCTTTCACTACCTAGTATGGTAATATTGGTGCTCAAGAAATATTTACTATTAAAAAACAAGGCATGGCAGTGGTTCCAGAGCATATCCACTATACAATGAAATGATAACTAAAAATGTTTTATTTTACTCTTTTATTTTGTAGGTATTATTACTTGGCATTCAAAGCACATGAAACACCTCTTGCCAGCAAAGAGAGCTGTGTTGCTATCTTGGAAAAATCCAGATTAGATCACTGGGTGCTGGGAAAAACAAAGGTAGTTTTTTCTTTTTTGTTCATATTGTCACCTGTGATGCTCTGCTGTGTATCTTTGTCTCTTGTCAGTGATATGAATGGCTCTGTAAGTTGTGTGGCTTAGCAGACAAAACCCCAGCCTAACATTGATCTTTGCTGGTCTTGGGTCAGGAGTCCTAGGACCTCTGGACAAGAAGAGGAGGGTTCCCTCCTATTCTGCATGTAGTTTGAGAGAACCACTTAGCATTTCTAGAATGAGAACTTTGAGTTTATTTTAAAATGTCCCTTTTAAAATGTTGCTTATTACAGCACCTCATGGAAATACACAAATCTTATTAATGACAAGAATGAGCATCTTTTATAGTTTTGTCCCATTTTTCATTAGACTCATGTGTTTTTTACTATGTACCCTGATTAGTAGTCTCATCGTGTATAGCTCTTCATTTAGGGAACATCCCATCCCTGACCCAGGTTTTTATGATCCGTTCTGAATTGCCGTACAAAGCCAGTCTTAGTCTGAGTGTGGATGGCAACACGGTTGCTCCTCAGCAGAAATTAGATCACTGTGGATCATTTAGGTCGTTCTCCTTCTGAACTTCCATCGTTGGCTGTGGGGGATCAGTTCTGTTGGTTAGTGCCTCCATCAGAGGCTGTGGAGATAGATAGTAGAAATCAAATTAAGAAAACAGAACTCCTGGCAGCTATAAAGCAGACTTGGAGAACATTTGGGATCTCCTAAATCCCATTAACCTCATCATCTGTTTGTATCAGTAATCAAGGATTGGCTTAACCTTAGAAGGGGTATTGTGTTTGCTCCCAAGAAGTCAGTAATGCTAGCATAAAAGAAGTCACTGTAAACTTTATGTAGATAACGGTTTTAATGTTTTTAATAAGAATTCTCTGGAGTCAGGGCGCCTGGGCGGCTCAGTTGGTTAAGCGTCTGCCTTCGGCTCAGGTCATGGTCCCAGAGTCCTGGGATCAAGCCCCACATCGGGCTCCCTGCTCAGCGGGAAGCCTGCTTCTCCTTCTCCCACTCCCCCGCTTGTGTTCCCTCTCTGTCAAATAAAAAAAAATCTTAAAAAAAAAAAAAGAATACTCTGGAGTAGACTGACCCTCTGTTTGGGAGCCCATATGTAATGCTAAAACTAATATCTCATTTCAGGTTTTTCTCAAATATTATCATGTCGAGCAGTTAAATTTGTTGCTGCAAGAAGTCATAGGCAGAGTGGTTGTGCTGCAGGCATATGCCAAGGGGTGGCTTGGAGCCAGGAGATACAAAAGAATCAGAGAGAGGAGAGAGAAGGCGGCGATTGCCATTCAGTCAGGTAAACGGTCCTGAATCTTGGCATTTCGTCAAGTACTGGGGCCACTCATCTGTTGCTTTTCTCAATGGCTTCTTTTCTTCTTCTACCCTTCCTTCCCTTCTTCCTTCCTTTCTTCCTTGCTTCAGCAAATATTTACTGAGTGCCTATTGTAGGCCCTGGGCTAGATGCTGGGAATCTAGCCATGAGCAAGACTACCATGGTCCCTCTGACCTCCACATAAGCAAACAAGCCATCACAACACACTGTGGTGAGAAGCACGGTGGAGGGAGTGTGAAGTGGGCAGAGGGAAAACCCAAATCACACAGACCTGTGCCCCTTCTCCCAGATGACTGATATAATATACACCCCAGGCCCATCACCAAGTTCTCAGCATCAGAATTACTTCACCAAGTTCTCAGCATCAGAATTACTAATGCCCTTTCAGGAAGGCTTTTCTAGCACAGACAGAGCTTATAAACCAGGGGAGCAAATCACCAGGCTCTCTCATATGCCCAGCCCATGCAGTGTCTCTTTGCACATGTGGGTGTCATTTGTGTTACAAACAGCATCTGAGCTTCTGTGCTGTTGATGAGTGGTTATGAAAGCATCAGTCTTGAACATAGTGGACAGTTTCCTTTGTGCTCTCATAACCCAGAATCCCATTGTCCGCTCTGGCCTTCATGACCGCACTCAGCAACATGGGGAGCTGTGATGCTAATGGGAAGGACAAAAAGGTGAAGTGGTCATGCTCCTGGTGGGCAGCTTAATGTCCCAGTCCACTGTCTGTAGGACTCAGCACACCCCCAGAGATTTCTCTTTCTCCTCTCCTTCTCCATTTTCCTTGCCTTCTGCCTTACTCTTGCATCATTTCCTTCTCCCGAAGCACTGTTCTTGGCACATGGTTCACCCTTACCAAATGCAGGTGTGCTACTAATTATCCCCCATGACTCCCTTCTTTATTTTTTATTATTTATTTGACAGAGTGAGAGAGAGAGAGTGCACAAGCAGGGGGGATGGCAAGCAGAGGGAGATGCAGGCTCCCCACTGAGCAGGGAGTGAGATGTGGGACTCGATCCCAGGACCCTGGGATCATACCCAAGCCCAAGGCAGATGCTTAACCGACTGAGCCACCCAGGCACCCTGACTCCCTTCTTTATTTTTCACTCCTTCAAATTTCATGTTCATACCTTCCTCCCAAATAAAAAAATCAAACAGATCAGGCTATTCCAGTTCTTTCCTACCATCCCCACAAACCACCCTACTCCCAAGTCTTGAACACAGAGCTTCCTCCAGGGATTAGAATGACAGGGAACAGCCTCACCTGGGATAGAGGTCCCCAGTGATTCATAAGTAGAATCCAGAGTGTTCTGGAAACTCACTGCCGGAACAAAAATAACTCCTTCTCAGAAGCATCTTGGAGGCCCAGCTAAGAGTACAGAGAGGCCCCTTTTCCCCATCATCGCTCACGTATCTCTGCTTATTTTCTTCAGTGAGAAAGCAGGAGGGAGGGCAAGAGGGGTAATAGATTGGAGGGAAAACAGCTTATATCAATTCGCTGGCAAGTTCTTAAATTAATATCATTCCTAGCACATGGTTTTGTATTTTTAGCCTGGAGAGGATATGATGCTTGGAAGAAATTTAAGAAAATAAGCAACAGAAGGAGTGAGTCTGCGGTTCCTATTCAAGCAGGTAATTAAAACATCATTTTCATAGCATCCACTTGAAAATATTCTGTGATTGAGTTCATATGATTTTAGAAAGCTGAGAGGTGAATAATTCAGGAGCACTGGAATCAAGTTCTAGTGGGGATTCTAGTGCTTGTTGTGACACACCCCCGGCGTGATGATGAAAAGGCTGACAGCGAGCATTTGCCGCTTGCCATACTTGTATAAGGAGACTCTCAGTAAGTGCTCTAATATTCCTGAGTTTATAGAGAGGGCAACTGTGGCACAGAGAAGCGCAGTAACTTGTCCACGGTCACACAGCTGGTCAGTAGCAGAGTCAGCATTTGAACACAGGCAGGTCGGATAAAGTCAACTTCATATACCGCCAACTGAACAAATCCCTTTGCTTCTTGGAGTCACACATCTGTCATCTGTGAAACAGGAGGCCAGGTCCAAGTCTGGTTAAGTCTGGAAGGTGCCTGGCAACCTTGGAATTCTTGGATCATATGCAACACCCATCTTTCAGCATCACAGAGATAATAATAGCTCTGGGACTTTCCCAGCAAATGGGATTTCCCACACCCTGGCCTGTATGTGGCTAAGGTGGTCCTCTGGGCCCCGAGGGGTTAAGCTGTGGCTGAGCTTGGAGCCTGGCTTCTGCCTCATCTGACCTGTCCCTGGCTCCTGGGTGGCTCTGCTCTTCTGCAAATGGCAGTACCCACGGTGCCTGCCAGCCTGGGTCCCCTTCATCATGGGAAGCCCTATATGCTAAGTGAGGCCCTGGAAGAAGTAGGCCCCAGAGCACGCCTGGAGCTCCGAGAGTGTAAAATGTGGAGACAGAGTGAGAGAGTAGTGGCCAGTCCTGCGGACTCCACAAGCCTGAAGAGAGATAGGATTTCAGAAATTGCTGTCTTGAAGCAAACTCAAATAAAACAGCTGCAACCTTTTTGAGGCCGTCCCTGCCCAGAACCTGGCTCCAGGAACTCTTCTCCCAACTCTCTTGGGCCACTGTAGAGACCTGATATCTTCATTCAGAACCAAAATATTTGGAAGGAAGGGATGTCATTGAGATGCAAATGTGTAAATTTTAACACCATCGCCTAGGAATTTTAAGCTCTACAACTTCAAAGAGTTCATTGGAAGAAGGATCCAATTCTAGTTGCAGCTTAAGAAAGACAACTCACAGTGTATTTGTTCCTTCCTTGCCCACCTCCACACACCACACCACACCACACAGCACACGCACACACGCGTGCTCACACCACCTCCCCCCCCCCCCCCCCAGTCTCCTGGACTGATTTCTGATCTTGCAGTTTGGCCCAAAGCCCAACATATGTTTTAAAATATAAACTTTGGGTTATATATTGTTGATCCACTGAGTTCAGGATATAGGATCATAAATCACATTTTCCCTCTCTGAAAATGATCTTTAGAGGGTTCCCTGTTTGCACTCTGTTATTGCCAAGTGAGGGAGGGCTGCATGAAAACAGAGACAGGTTTGTTTCATCATCATATCAGGCCGGTCGTGAATGCACCTTTTTGGTAGAGCACCCATGCGGTAGGTACCATGGAAGGATAGTTTTGTTTTGTGGAACTGGAGAGAACACATGTCTTCAAGGTGCTTCTTTTTTTTTAAGCTCTGCAAGCACCCCCCCCCTTTTTTTTAGCCCGGCCACTAGTGTTCCTACTTATCAAGTGGCACTGGGAACTTCCACTAACTGAGTCTACAGGGGCTTGGGCGGACATGAGAACAGGTACTAACTCCACCTCTCCGTCTTGCAAGTAGTGTGGCAGTCGGAGCAAAGCAGCCAGAGTCTCTTTGCCCTTCACCCCAACACCACGGACAGGAACTGAGGTGCTGGTGTTGTGCTGGCAGAAAAGATGCCTGGATAGGGTAACAGCATTTGCAATTGTATGGGCAGTTTACTTTTTTTTTTTTATT